CTCTCTCTCTCTCCTCTCTCTCCCTCTCTCTCCCTCTCCCTCTCTCTCTCTCTCTCTCTCTCTCTCTCTCTCTCTCACACACACACACACACACACACGCACACAATTTGTTTGTTGAAGAAATTGGGTCATTTATCCTACAGTTTTCCATAGTCTATATTTTGCTTATTGTTTCTTTTTTATTTTTTTAAATGAATTATTTTTGTTACAAATGTTTCTCCTTTTTCCCCCAGACAGCCTCCTCTCTACTCCACCCCTACCTTGCAAGCATTGTTCTCTATGTCCATTTGTATCGTTAAGTAGTCTTTTTTCTTGTTAGAATCAGATTTCGGTTGGTTAGTAAGAATATGTCTCAGGAAATATTATTTGGTTTTATCTGGAGACATATAATATGTCTGGACCCTCCACTCATATTAACATCTACTGCTAAACATTACTTAGATCTTTATTTCATTAGGGATTGCCAACTAGTGATATTTTAAATTTCTTTCTTCATTGATTAGCAGAGATACTTCTACTTTATCAGCTATTTGATTGAGGTACAATTTTTATAGGAAAGGCAAGATAATGGCTTGATTTTTTTTGTTTTGTTTTGTATTTATATCCTAGTTACCAAAACAATGAAGTGGTTCCTAGCATCCTTCAAAGGTGACTAATGAGTTAGTTTTTAAATGTCATTATGAATTCATGGATTTAAAGACATTTCATGCATCAGTCCATTACCATTGTTATATTTACTGATATTCAGATTGTCCCATCTTTGGCTACTGGAAGCCTCTTCAAGCTGGTCCATTGGATAAAACTCTTTGACTTGTGATAGGACAAGGTATTCCAGGATCATCCTGTACATTTCCTGACCCAGGCTGGGAATTGGCCATTTCTCTAAAGAACTTGATTCTTTTTAGTGGGAAAGGGTATTTAGAGACGATAATCTCGGTACATAGTAGATTTTTTTAAAAGTCATGTAAGCAAAAGTAAGGTCAGAGACAAATCTTAAGTCTGCCCTGATCTAGTAATTTTCCATTACCACCAAAATGGAGAGATTGAAGTACATTTTTAGTTCAAAATAATGAATAACCTAGAAGAAACTTTCCTTTGACTTAAGAGTTAATTATATCTTGTTACAAAATTGGTTTTTGAGATTATATTTTTGTTGACTTCAGTGGGTTGTAGAAGGATACAGTTCAGTATGTGCTGGTTGACAGAAGTCGAGTCAGCAAGGTTAAAGTTTCACAGTGAATAATTTCCAGTCTATCCACAAAATCAGTAAAAGTTGACTGTACTGCCTCCCAAATCAACTAGAAGTTTTGGGATTATCAAAAGCAAGACAGGAAACTGACCTTGGATAGAACACTTACCTCAGAACATAAGTTTCCTCATCTATAAATTAAAGAGTTGAATTAGACATTATCTCTGGGATCTGAGTCTATTGTAAAACTTTTTGTAATTATCTGAGTTGTTCTTTGTCTTTCTCATGCTTTTATTCATTAAATATTTTTCAATCACTTAGTGGGTACCAGGCAATATTTTAGGTGGTGGGAACAGTGGAGGCAAAATACCCAACTTCTTTCCTTTCATACCCTGCTAAGAGGAGATACTCCCATTATCTCTACACTGTGTGAGCCCCTAATGATAACAGTCCTAAAATTTCACCTTCTGTTTTCTAATCTATTCCTTGTTTGAGAAAAGAAGTCCTGAACACCACCCTGGCCGGTCTTGCTCAGCGGTTAGAGCATCAGCCTGCGGTCCAGAGAGACCCGGGTTAGGTTCCCGCCAAGGGCACATACCTCGGTTGCAATTTGTCCCTGGCTCTGGTTGGGTTGTGCGGGTGGCAACCACTCGATGTGTCCCTTACACGTCGATGTTTCTCTCTCTCTCTTCCTCTCTTTCCCTCCCACTCTATCTGAACAAAAAATGGAAAAGTGTCCTTGGGTGAGGATTAAAAAAAAAAAAAAAAAGTCCTGAACACTGTTGTAGATAATTTGCCCATACTGAAAAATAGCTTGCATGAACTTTCTGACATCAGAAACTTAAATCACTTTTTCTTTGACATACAGCTTTTTGTTTTAAAATTTTTTCATTAGTTAAATTAATTTGGGTGATAAAATATAGAAGTTAATTCAAATGATCTATCCTGTGTTTCATTTGCACTTTTAAAAATCCTCTCGCTTTAAAAAAAATTAGCGGTATTGTTACCAGGGTTAATGGAGATATTATTGTGTTATATTCTCTTAGGATATAAGTGATTCAGTTTGTCAAATTTGCTATATAGCTATTTTCATTTGAAAAGATACATTAGTATTATTTTAAAATGTACATATTCATCTATTAAAAATCACTTTTATTTAAAAGTTGAATCTGGCCCTGGCCAGTTTGGCTCAGCAGTTAGAGCGTCAGCCTGTGGTCCGGAGAGACCTGGGTTTGGTTCCCACTAAGGGCACGTACCTCGGTTGCAGTTTGTCCCCAGCCCTGGTTGGTCGTGCGGGTGGCAGCCACTCGATGTGTCCCTTTCACATCGATGTTTCTCTTTCTGTCTCTCTCTCGCTCTCGCTCTCCTTCTCTCTCTCTCTCTCTCTCCCTCCCTCCCTCCCACTCTGTCTGAACAAAAAATGGAAAAATGTCCTCGGGTGAGGATAAAAAAAAAAAGTTGAATCTGTTTCAATCCTATATACAAAAGGTAGTCAGAAATTTGTATTAAAAATGGATTTAGATGGAGGGAAGCACAATTTCAGTAACAAGAATACTTTATATTTTATTGTTTGGGTTTTTATTTCCAAATACTAGCAGGAATAAAGTGTTCCCCATTACTCTTCACTGAGTCAGCATTCAGTTAATCTGATAGAGAAGCATCTCAAAGAGTCTTCAAGAGCTAAGTCATTCTCTTCCAGTGATGATAAGCTTTATACTTAAAGAGATTGATTGCATGTGTTTTCAGGCCCCAAGGATACCATTTGGGACAGCATTTTTTAATATTTATAAATAATTACTTAAAAGAGTTAATTCACAAAGTTTATTACCAATGTGTAGGAGTGTTAAAAGGCCGCCTGATTATGATAAGATGCTGGCCATTAGTCCATTACAAATTCTCTGAACTCACATTTCTACGTGTGTGTGTGTGTGTGTGTGTGTGTGTGTTAATCCTCACCTGAAGATATTTTTCCATTGATTTTTAGATAGAGTAGAAGGGAGGGAGGGGGAGAGAGAGAAACATTGATATTATAGAGACACATCGATTGGTTGCCTCCCGCACAGCCCCTCAAGTCCAGGGATTGAACCTACAACCCAGGTATGTGCCTTTGACCAGGATTGAACCCATGGTCCTTCGGTCCTCGGGCTGATGCTCTAACCACTGAGGCAAACCAGCCATGGCCATTCCTACATTTTAAAAATGATATTTTGTGTACTCCAAAGTTTCAAAGTTGTGTTGCTACTTAATACAGCATACATATTTCCTCATGTGATTTTTGAATGAGAAGTCCTTCAGAAAAGAACTTCTGAGGTAGGATTTGATGTTTACCTGCATGTATATACCCATTTTTCAGGGAATGGATAGTTTTTTTCCCCTAACTCTTTGCTACTTCAGTAATGTCCACATAGACATTATTATATGAGTATGTTGGTTTTGGTGTATGACTGACTGTACAGTCTCTCTTCACTCTATACTCAAACAAATGAAGACTTTCTTCCATTCTTAACTAGCTTTTGTAACTGCCAGCCAAATATTCTTCTGCACACATTCTGGTAGGCTTAACCATACTCCTCTAGAACTGCTCTACCCAGTACAGTAACCATTAGCCGTCAGTGGCTGTTAGGTTCTGAAAATGTGACTGGTCCAAATTGAGATGTTCTGTAAGATAGACTAGAATTTGGAGACTTAGTATGAAAAAAGAATGTAAAATAGTTCAGGAAATTTTTTATCCGTTATATGTTAATATTCTGGATATGTTGAGTTATATAATATACACTGTTTTAAAATAATGTAATAATTATTACATTATTGTTTTCACCAGTATTATTTTACCTTCTTAAATGTGATTATTAGAAAACCTTACATTACGTATGTGGCTCACATATTTCTAATAGACATGCTCTAGAATACTGGAATATCAATCATTATTCAGGCAGCCAAATCCCTATCTTTGCATAATAGATAGTTCTATTCCAGACTTTCCCCCCTAAGATTCCTAACTTAATGTAGTTGCGAGTTTGCCATATGGCATGGCAGTGCCTGTGTATGACTTGGGAATATACTTGTCTCTTCTACATGTGGACACAATAAGCATCACCACATGTCATACTTAGAACCACTCAGAAAAACGGTTTAGACTACCAACATGAGTGAAACCATTGCCAATCTAGAGGCTTGCATTCAACATTTGCAAAAATAATTTTTATCATTTTGAGTCTGATATTACTTTATGGATCTTTGGCGATGAGGTTTGTAAATGAGTATTACATATGAAATAAGTGTTAATGAGGACAACCTAACTGTTTTGCTGCAGTAAACACTAAGTTATGGTTTTATTGCTTTGACTGATAACACTGTATATTATGCATGAGTGCTAGAATAAGAAACATACTTTACCAGTTCTATTTTATTACTGTTGAAAATATAGTTAACATAATTCACATTACAGTTATAACATGCTGTACTTGTTTCACTGCAAATTTTAAGATGTAAATAAAAGACAAACTCCTACTTAAGCTAAGAGATCAAAACAGGTTTTGTTTTAATCTCATATAATTTAACATAAGTGCTATATGTAGCATACTTTGAAACATTACTCAGTATTTTTCATATAGAGCATTTTTATCAGCCTCTAAATTTGAGTTTGAATAATGAAAATTCTCAAATTTACATATTTAAAATTTTAAATGATCAGCAATAAGAGTATAATTGCATCTGGTATAAATATGGTAGTTAAGCAATAAAACATTTATTTGATCATTACAAAAATATTCTCTTGTAAATACAACACCAATTTTGTCCTAATTTTTAGGAGACCAGAATCCGAGCAATGGATAAGAATGCCAAGAAAAGAATCCATAATTTTTCTGTGATCAACCCAGGTGCTGGCCAGGCTGTAACTCATAGTTTTGCAGCGGACAGTAGAGAAGATCTCCAGAATTGGATGGAAGCTTTCTGGCAGCATTTCTTTGATCTTAGTAAGTTGATGTTTGGATTTTCTTGTAGTATATTCATGTACAGTTGGCCCTCGTTTATCGTGGTTAATCAGTTCCAGACTCCACTGCGATAAATGAATTTCCACAAAGTAGGATTCTTTGCAGTGGTCCCTCGCCACTTCACACTTGGACTTTTTTTTTTTTAAAAAAACCGCAATAGAGTGAGTGAAGCGGCGGAAGTCAAAGCGCGAAGTGGGGAGGGACGACGACTGTATCCTCAACGGATACACCGTAATCTAAACATTAAAATTATACATATTATAACCTTATAGTTTATATCATGAAATGTTTATGCTCCTGAATAAAATAGTAGTATATCACCAATGCAATGATGTTTTTTTCTCTTAACCTTTCCCCATTGCCTGACTGACTATAGTATAGTATACCTTTGAATTTCTAGTATCCCTGCCTCTTACTCTTTTTAAGAAGTCTAAGACATTTTAATTGTTAAAATATTCAAAAGTTAACTTGATGAATGCAGACTATGATTTTAAGTAGTTTCTTACAATAATGAAGTCACATTATGCATTGAAGACAGTCTATGATATTTTTTTCATGTTAAGATAATTTCATGTTTTAGAAAGTGAGAACTAGATTTTCATTGAAGAGATACTTCTGTGCAATACATATTCTGTTTTAATTTATTGGGGTGACATCAACAGGAATATATTGAAAATGTAGACTATTGATAATGGCTATTTCTAATCAAATTAGATTCAACCACTATTTTATGTCTTTAGAATGCTTTTCTATAGAATTACAAAATAGAGCCATTTGCAAACAATAATAGTTACATCTGCAACTCCAAGGAATAATCTAGAGACATTTTAGGATTTCTTACAGGCTGTTTTGAGGAACTCTATAAAAGAGTTAATATCTGCAGTCTTTAGATTAAGTTCTATAAACTTACGCTGATCCATGGCCTGGTCAAGTATTATAGCAATGTTTGGGGGGGGGGGGACAAAAAAGGGAACTAAATTTGATTACCTTCCACATACCATATGGTTTCATTTATTTCTCATAACATCCTAGTGATGTAGAAATTATTTCCCTCTGCTCTAAAGATGTGAAAATTGAGTCCGGAAGAGTTTTCTAGTTTGCTACAGGGAACCCGGAGGAAGACTCACTCCATGGCCTCCTTGGATTCCTTAGGACTTGTTTTTCCTTAAGTATTATCCCTAAGCATTCAGTAGTTGTTTAAAATTTGTTCCGTGCTTATCAGCATACACTACATTTTTTTCTTTTAAAATTTCAGCTGCTCATAAGTGTGTTGCCTAAAAGACAACAACTTCCTTTTGTTTGCTAATCACAGCTAAAATTTTAACTGCTTCCCTAAATGCTATGATTTAGAGACTCTGTCTTACAAAAAAGACTACATTATTTTTAGAAGTGTGTCTAGTATTTTACAATTTTCATGTATATAAAAATAGGAAAGGGTAAAAGGAAGTAAAATGCCAGGATATTATATGGTCTGGATATCAACTTCTACTAGATAATCTCATGTTTTCATTCTCCAGATTGTGTAAAATAATGTGTCTTGTTAAAAGGGGGAGTTTAGAGGGATAAGAATCTCATGGTGTTTTTTTTACTGTCAAAGTAATAAGAAAGTGATGACAATAAGGTTCTTGGGTCTGGTTTTCTTTCTTTTTTTTAATCCTTACCTGAGGATATTTTTTCCATTTATTTTCAAATAGAAAAGGAGGGAGGAAGGGGGGAGAGAGACATCAACATGAGAGAGACACATCTATTGGTTGCCTCCCACAAGACCCAGACCAGGACCTGGGACGAACCACAACCAAAGTGCATGCCCTTGATCAGAATCGAACGCATGACTCTTTGGTCTGCGGGCTGATGCTCTAACAGCTGAGACAAACCGGCCAGGGCTGGTTATTTCTTTAGTACTTGAGGTTTGGGGTATAAAATCTGCCAATGTATCTGATTTTTAAAGTATAAATTCTATTACATTTGTACTTTAGAATTCGTTATGTATAGAGATATGAAGCAAAGATGGAAGTGTTTGTACTATCCTAAAGCTTTAAAATTTTTACCTACCTAGTGACAGTGTAGCCTCTCATGATCGTGGGTGAAATAATGATGTGTAGAACAAAGTAGAGGATAGATATCGAAGGCAGAATAAAGTAAGAGTAATTTCACATTTAGAGCACATTTCAATTATTTGACTCCATTTCAGAGTAGAAATCAGAAGAGTGAGATGATTAGAAATCATGAGACAACATTAATGGAACTAGTTCTGTTGAGCCTGGAAAAGAACTCCCTGAGGACTAGGGGTTGGGAGGCAAAGGGGATGTAATAGTTCATTTTAAATTCTTTTCCTATGTAATTATTTTAATCGTTTTTAAAATTATAGTTTACATTCAGTATTATTTTGTATTAGTTTCAGATGTATAGCATAGTGGTCAGACAGCATGTACTTCACACAGTGCTCCCCCTGAGCTTCCCAGCACCCACCTGGTACAGGCATAGCCATTATGTGTAATCGCTAACTTTTAATGTCTGAGAGCTAACAAACATGTCAATGAGGAATACCACTTGTCTTGGATGATCAAAAATGGTAGAGCTAGAAATGGTGGATCAAAAATAATTTTTTTTAAGTATTTAATAATATAAATATTGAGTTACATAAGCAGCGTAGTATATCAGATTATTTTGACTGGGAATATAACAAATATTGTGGGCCACATACAGATTTTATGTAACTGAAACATTCATTTAATATTTTATACAGGTCTTTATTTTTATGTTAGTGTATTGGCAGCATGTATAACTATGCATACTAATTTATTCACTGGTAAAATGTTTCAGTTGTAATGTCTTGAGCAGTGAACATACCACCTCAGACTTCAGTAACACGTAGGATAATGTGGCTTTATATTCCAATTTTCAGCATGATTAGTATTCTGCTACCAGTTTAACCATCAAAAGCTTTCATCTATCAATATAGAGAAAATACTGCACTTTATAATTTGTGTAAGATTTGACAGAGAAATGTTTGCTAGTTTAAAGTGTTTCATTATTTTTCCATTAGATATGGCCTATTTTTTTCTGCCCTCAAGAAGAAAAAGCTGGCTTTTATATATTTATCTAAAAAAGGAAGTGGAGGGGAGGAATAAGTTATCAGATTTCAGATCCTACTAGATTTAAATTCTGCAGGGCAACCTTTGAAGCCTCAAACTCAGGATTTTATTCCCTTTATGAGTTGCTATATGGGTTATTTTGAAATTTTTATGAAATTCTGTATTTAGCATTATAATAAAACATACTGAAAGGTTTTTATGTTGCTTAACTATTTAAGGTGATGGATTTAAAATGTATGCATACATTACTAGATTGCTATGACAGACTTAAAACAACAAAAATGAATAGCTAATTTGACTAAACATGAAATGTCTTTAATTTTTAAGCCATGGAAAATAACTAAGTTGGATATTGAAGATGGAGATTGAAAATATAATAAAAGGAAAAGAAATACAGATCATAAATCAGTCTAAAAAGGCACATGTGTATTGCATTTACTTTTCTACTGATGTAAGAATTTAAGAATGGTGAACCTCAATAACTTAAATTTTTATAATATGATTATATAGACACATAGTTTCTCACACAGTTGTTACACAGCATGCAGGTGCACAATAAATACAGAAAACTTAAGTTTTTTAATATTCACTCAGAAGAAATAAAGTTAAATTTATTTTAAGATGAAAATAGTAAAACATAATTAAAAGAAAAGTTAATGTCCACACTTTTAAAGTTTAACTTAATAATTAAAAGAACTTATTCAAGAATATTAGTTTATTATGAATGCCTAATAGCTTTATTTAAAGTGTCCTTCCTAAAATAATTGAGATTCTGTTAGAATTTTGGGTCTTCTGTCTTTATAGTAATAGGCTTTTTTATATATCTTTTACTTAAATAAAAATTTATTGTTTTGCTAGAGTTGCGTGATTTTTTAAAAAGCATGATAATCATCTTGAAGAGGTCATTGTTAAATAATCAATTTTTATTTAAAAGTTGAAATCATTTTTGTAAACCACTACTTTTTACTTTTTTTTTTTCCTACTTCTTCCTCCTAGGTAACTATATTTCATTTGTTGTGGTTTTTTTTTTTTTAATCTTTCAACTGTCTTAAATATTGGACATTTTTATTTAATATTTAAACAAAGAAATTATACAAACTCATGCCATAAATAGAAATTTTAGTTGTTGACCATTTAGTGAAGTAGTATAATATTAATAGCCCAGAGATCTTAGCTTAACATCTGTGCATAGAACTTTATTTTTTAAATAGATTACATTTATGCCTAGACTTGGTCTTTAAAATTATGGGTAGTACTATATTTTTTGTGGCCTTTTTAAGGTAATGCTTTATAAATTCACTTACTTTTCAAATAAAAAATGTGTTGGTATCTATTGAAAATGAATTATACTACTTCACATTTATGTTTTAAACTAGCCTGCCTTTTTCCGGCTTTCTTAGGCCAATGGAAGCACTGCTGTGAAGAACTTATGAAAATTGAGATTATGTCACCACGGAAACCACCTTTGTTCTTGACAAAAGAGGCGACCTCAGTCTACCATGATATGAGTAAGTGGGGTTTGTCTTTTCTAAGCTGCAGGGTAACAAAAACAACATTGTCCATACTCAAGCAGCTTATTCTATTGATATTAAAATGCTAAAATTTTCAGGGTACAGTGAAAATGAATGAAAAAAGAGTATCATTATAGACTAAGGAACTCATGTTTAATAGATGAATTAATACAAAATTAATGAATACACATTTTTTGTAGTTTGAATGCTTAACAAACAAAAATGTTAAGGTTTCAAAATAAGGGTGCACTAAAATAAATATTAGCTGAGTAGCTAATAAAAATTCTGAAAATATGAAGTTCCAGATTATAAAATATAATCAGTAATTTTTTTGTATTACATTTGTTTTAAAGTAGTGTTGATAAATGAATAGTAATGGAAGCTTTCATCTCACGCCAAAAAAAAAAAAGTGGTGAAGTTTAATTCTTTGGAAAATTTAAAATATTTAGACTCATTAATATTTTATTTTTTCATACTTTGAATAGTATTTATCTTTGTAGGATTGCCTCAATGAACACAGTGTTGTGAACAAGCACAAGTCAAGACTAAATTCTTGTCTGTTTTGCTCGGTGTCCCTGCCTCACATATACTTTAAAATGTTAAATTAAAAATGATGCATTTGAATTTGCACATTTGAAAATACCAGTGACTCATTTAATAGACATTTATCTCTGTTCTCTTGTTTTTACCAAGGAAAATTTCACCCAACATTCTTGTCACCAATATGGTATCAGGGCTTCACTCTGTTTCTTTGGGTTTTGGGTTTTGGATTTTTACCTTATTAAAGAGACTGCTGATCTGCAGGAAAGAATCCATTGTGTTTGTCCCAGTCTACATGTCAGACTTATGAAAATGGAATCCACTCTTACCTAGAAGTCAAAATAGATTTTAAATCCAGGAAAGTAATTGAAAAAATTGCTGATGTAACACTGTACCTTTATAAGCTGGATTTTACTTGTTTACTTAGGAATACATATATTTATGCATATACATATACATGTGTGTACACACGTATGTGTGTGCAGTGCATAGTGCATGATCTCCTTACTTTTGGTTCTATTGATATGGTTACTTTTACAAGTAAATGATTTTTAAAAAACCACTTGCTCTCTTAGTCTGTTTCTGATGACTATTATAGATAGCATATTGGTTTGGAAAATAACTTACTCAGGTAAAGTGTTTATTGTTTTGAGTTTTTTTCCATGTATTTTTTTTTCTTAAAATTGTTACAGGCATTGATTCCCCTATAAAACTTGAAAGTTTAACTGATATAATACAAAAAAAAATTGAAGAGACAAATGGACAGTTTCTTATTGGTCAGCGTGAAGAATCCACACCACCTCCGTGGACCACACTCTTTGATGATAAGCATGAAGTGGCCCTCCAGAAAAAGACGTTATCTTCCGCAAGCACACAGTTACAGGATGGAAAACGGAAAAAGAGGCGCGCTCCCCTTCCTCCTCCTGATAAAGCTCCATTCAGCTTAGAAATGCAGAGCAGCACTGATCAGTTGGTTAAGGACGACAGGGAAAAAACAAGTGTATCTCAGACCTCTTCTTTGGATACCAAATTATCAACCCTAATGCATGACTTACAGAAACCAGTAGCTGCTCCTCGAAAACTTCCTCCTGCCAGGAAAAGTAGTTTAACCAATGGTCAAAATACAGACACTAAAACCAATATTGAAGCCAAGCCAGTGCCAGCTCCAAGGCAGAAATCTATCAAAGACATTTTGGACCCTAGATCATGGTCGCAGGCACAAGTATAGAAAACCCTTAATGTATAAAACATTAACAAAATGTGTAACTGTGAGGCTTGATTCAGAAGCGCTGTAGATGTAGTAATATGAAATTAGGTAAATAAGATAGTGATTAAATCAATAATAAGCTACTGGGTATAAAAATGTTGTATAGTGAGAAATGAATTTCTCTTTTACTTCTGATTTTGAGAATATAAATGATTTCCCCACAGAATTTAATAGGCACTCTCTAGACAATATCCTAATTGTTGGAAGGGTTAATTTATTCCTAAATTAGTACCAGGCAGTGAACAAGAACTCGGCAGAAGAAAGCTTTAAAATTTCTTTGAGGAGAGACTGTCTGGTAATTTAAAATGGTTAAATATGAGCCATATTCTCACTGTGGGAATTTTAATACTAATGGAATTTTTCAAAAGTTTTATTCAAACCACAAATTATAGAATCCGCCCAAGAAAATTTTTTCTTAGCATTCTGGAATTCTCATCTAATGGTTCACTGGCTCTCATCTATTGTTTAACTCACTAGTTAACTCACTGACCTTTTAAATTCCTGGGATAAATTTTGGGATATTAAATTCTTCATCTTTAAAGGAAATTTATAATATGCTATCCAAAGTTTTCTCCTTGATGAGCCCTGAAATCCTGCAGACATTAACTCTAATAGTGAAGCACATGTTTACTAGTTTAGAGGAAAGGTAGATGAAATGTTCTTTACTTTCATTTTTCCATGCATGGTGATAATTTCCATTATGACACTGGAATTTAGGGAAGTGAGTAGCTGATTAACACCTTAAAATTCATTTAATACCTATTTTTTTTTTTTTTTTGGTACATGCCCCTAGTGGGAATCGAACCCAGGACTCTCTGGTCTGCATACTGATGCTCCAACTGCTGAGCCAAACCTGCAGGGCTTAATACCTATTTAAAAGCAGGTGATTGCCCTGGCCGATTTGGCTCAGCGGTTAGAGTGTCGGCCTGCGGTCCAGAGAGACCCGGGTTTGGTTCCCACTAGGGGCATTTGCCTCGGTTGCGGTTTGTCCCCGGGCCCCCATTGGGGTTGTGTAGAAGGCAGCCACTCAATGTGTCTCTCTCATGTTGATGTTTCTCTTTCTTCCTCTCTCTCCCTCTCTCTCCTTCTCTCTCCCTCCCATTCTATCTGAACAGAAATGGAAAATGTGCTCAGGTGAGGATAAAAAAATAAGTAAATAAAAAAATAAAAGCAGGTGGTTGATTCAGAAATATCAGAAAACTGGGCCATGATAACTTTCAGAATTAATCCCCTTTTTAAAATTTTTAATTTGATTTTCTTTTTTCTAGTAAGGGTTGATGTCTGCTATTGATATAATTCATTAAAAGTAATATTCTTACAATAATGACATCAGAATCATTTCCATAGTAGGTGATTTCCATGGTGACCCAAACAAAATTATGAAATCAAGTGAGGAATAAAGAGCAAGAGATTGAGTACCTTACAGGAACCAAAAAAAAAACAAAATCATTTTTTATAATACTTCCTGTAAACAAGAGCTGAACAGAATCCAATCAGAATTTCCAAATAAAACCGTTTGCATAAGGTGTCAACAACAGCACTAAAAATCTCAAATCACAGTGAACCCTAAATGTCATTGCAAGAAATAAGAATTAAATTACTGCCCTGCGTATAATCTCTAGAGATCTTTCTAAAGCCTGTAAGAACTCTGTTTGGATCAAAACTACATTGTTACACAGTAAAATGAACACTTGACAAAAATAACATTAATTTAAATGGAGCCTTTTGTTATTTTTAGATAACAAAGTCTTTTTTCATTTATATAGAATGATGTAACTGCCAGGTTACTTTTCTGTTTGCTCAGGACTCTAGTAAGAATTGGGACTCAGGGGAACAATGATACAAAAGGTCTCTTGGGACTGATGACATCGGGATAGACATAGTATTTGATGAGAAGGAAACCCTATATGCTTGTCTGATAGAATTTGGAGACAATCACATGTATAAAACCTAAGAAGGTAGGATTAATTTGTTTTTCCAACCAGAAGGCTCCTGTAAATTTTTGTTGTGATTGCCAGTTGAATAAATGACACATTAAAAATCTAAAAGTTATTACTATCTGAATTTTTATTTTTTTAAACCTCACTGCTGTTTTTGACAGCATTTGTGACTGTCGTTGCCACTAAATTATTGAGCTAGAAGATGCTGTAGGCAAAACTGTTTCTGGAACTGGCATCTAAGAATTCTTTTTTTTTTTTAGTTGAATTATAACAAACCGGTGTTAAAACTTTCAAATTATATTCTTGTCATTTCTCCTGATGCATATATCAAGAAGGGTTAAGTTGTACAGAAAAGATTTATCATAGAGAAATTACCTAGCAGTTGTCCCTCAGTGAGGCACCTGAGACAAGGCTGAAGCCCTTCTTCCTAGAATCATTTAGGCGAAACCTGACCAAGGACTACCTCCTCCCCAGAATTATTCAGGCCGTTTCTAGGGACCCATTTTACTATGTGTTACAAAGCTTTTGAAATTGGGCTGAAGTCTTCAGCTGTACTTCCTTTGACATTGTTCTCATTAAATGTTAGTTCAGTTTCCCCCAAAGGTATAATACAAAACTGAGTATCTTTCCTCCCTCCCTCCCTCCCTTCCTCCCTTCTTTCCTCCTTTCTTCCGCAGTTAAAAAAAAAAATCTGAAAATACTGAGTTAAACACTTTGTTAAGGAGTTCGTCAAAAGAAGTATTTGTTTTCTCATTTCCTAAACCGGAAGTTTACGACAGAAAAAAATATGCCATGTAATAAAAGACATTTCAGCTTTTTATGAGATGGCTTTTCACATTCCTTGCTTGTCTTTTTAATTTGTTTCTTGGTATATGAAGGCTATAAACTTGAAACAGAGTTAGCTGTCAGATTTTAATAATATTATAATTGGAAAAACATAATAAAATAGATATTTTATGATATGATAATTCTGATGATCTGAAGATAATATTTTAGAAAATTACATTTACATTTCAAGCTCTGGGATATAAATTACTTACAACAGCATTAAGATAGTATTATTTTTAGTTGCTACAGAGTGGGAACTTGTATACAAAGAACAAAGAAGACATTTTGTTATTATAAATGCATACTGACTAAGGTGAAACAGTCTTTCAAAATATCAGGCATGCCACCTCTTGGTGGGTTTTATTAACTCCTCAACTATCTGCAGTGCCCCCTGACTTCTTTTAAATGGATGTGCGTATATGTCAAAAACTAAATCCATTTATTATAAATGCCTTATCTTTATACCCTTTAGGATCCTGCAAAATGTATTTTACCTGGCACTATTTATTAAAAACAGAAGCTCCCTTCTTCAGGGATAATTCACGTATGATCGGTGAAACAGTGGAACATTTCTTTAGGCTTATGTTCAGCACCTCAAGCCACCTACCAAGAAGTTAATCAATTCTGTACAAAATGAAATTATAGGGCAGTTTGGTATAATTTATGTTAAATGCCATTTGAATGTAATCACCTGTGTTACCATGAATGAGAAACAACCTTACCAGATAAAGGGCTGTACCATGAATAAGAAGAGAAGTGTGTTGGCAAGAAAAATAGCTATTCCTGTGGGTCAGAATTTATCAAAACTCATTGGTTTTTTTTTTAAAGAGTCAATTATTGAACAGTAATTACACGGATGACCATTTATATTCTCATAGTTGTCAGTGTTCTACTCATCTTAAACTATATATATATATATAATGGAGTTGTAGACTTATACTTAACATTTCAGAGACAGTACAATTTTTAAGTGTTTACATGTTTATGTGCAACTGCATCATTGCTAATAATAGTTGTATGAAAATAGTTTATACTGGATCATACATAGTCTTAGTTACTAGAAAAGATGTTACCTTTGAGTTTTTAAAGGACAAGATGTTTTTTTAAATATAGTAAGGTGTGTTATTTTCTGTGACTTGCTTGTATAATTGGCATTGTTTGTATTTCTTATTTTTTAATTAAATGTGGTTCAGGCTTCTGGATTAAAAAGTATTATATCACAGATTATATGTTTTTTAAAGTACCAAAGATTGTTTTGTTGTTGTTTTTAAATTCTCACCTAAGGATATTTTTTCATCTATCTTCAGAGGAGGGAGAGGGGGAGAGAGAGAGAAACATCAATATGATAAAGCCACGTCAGTTGGTTGCCTCCAGCATGACCCCGACTAGGGTCAGGAACCAAACCACAACCGAGGTATGTGCCCTTGACTGGAATTGACCCTGCAACTCTTCGGTCCACAGGCTGACACTCAGCCGCTGAGCCAAACCAGCCAGGGCAACACATACACTGTTTCTACAGCATGGCATATAGCACATAACAAAGGTATAAAGAGAGGAATGAGAGGATATAGCTGACACACACACATACACACACACACGTACGTGTATATATATATTTGTTGTTAATCCTCAACTGAGGATGTTTTTTCATTGTTTTTTTTAGATTGAGTGGAAGGAAGTGAGGGAGGGAGAAAGAGAGAGAAAGGGAAACATCGATGTGAGAGAGATACATTGGTTGCCTCCTGCATGACCCTGACCAGGAATCAAACCTGCAACCCAGGTATGTGCCCTTGACCGGGAATCGACCCCGTGACCATTTGGTCCAAAGGCCAATGCTCTAACCAGTGAGTCAAACCAGCCAGGGGTGTGTGTGTGTGTGTGTGTGTGTGTGTGTGTGTGTGTGTAAACTCATAGCTCCTGCTCCATTTTTCTTTTTTGCTTGATGTGAACATAATGGACAAAGAATGCATAAGAATTTAAGAGAGATCTAAAATGTGTTCAAATACTTATTGTCCCAATATTAGAACCCTATATTAAGCACTACTGGAGTTTATAAAATTGAAAAGAACACTTATTTTTGAGAAATTCACATTCTAGTTTGTGGAATCAAACAGATACTAAAATATTGTGATTTACTGCTTGACCTTAGCCTCCCATATATCCAGCAAATGTATTTGTATACAGACATTTAAA